GTCCTGACATTCGAACAGATCCAGCAAAACGAGAACCAGTACTTCTGTAGTCCTCTCCAAACAACCGGGAAGCTGCAGACAACCAGCGATGGAAATCTAAGCAGAGTGGCGAAAGACAGAGAGAGAGAGAGAGAAAGAGAGAGAGAAAGAGAAAGAGAAAGAGAAAGAGAGAGAGAGAGAGGGAGAGAGAAGGTAGGAGAAGAGAACGTGGCGTGGCGCGGAGCGGTGCACTGCGATGGGACGACGTAGATATCGTTTCGGTGAAATTGGGGTGAAAAGCGGCGGAGATGCGCGCGCGAAAGCGAAAGAAAAATATTCGGGGAACTAGCAGGACAAGTAGAGAGACAGGGTGGCAGGATATCAAGGTATCGATCCGGAGGGTAGAAACGCTGTGCACGACGACGAGCGTCTCTCGAAGCGCTCGTGTCTCTTCACGCTCGGTCGCGCTTTTCGTTAACGCCGAGCTAAGAGCCGGGGCTCGTGTAACGGGATCCTCGCGGAAAGCGCCTTGGGGTTTTATGGTACCCCTTCAGCTGGGATCAGAAGAGGCCAGAGAGGAGCAGCAAAGGAAGAAGGAGGTGCCCGAGATGGGGGTGGTTAACGTTGGAGGGTAGGACAGTGAACCTGGTATCGATCGGCTCGCGGCAAGTTCAGGGTCGCACTGTCGCAACGACTATCTTCTCTCTCTGGCCTGCCGTCACATTCCCGACGAACCCCATCCTCTTTGCTTCGGACCACCGTTCGACTCGCGGAACCGGCCATCCACCTCTAATAATTGCGCGATTTTACAGGCGATGGATAGATGGTGCGAGGAACCTGCAACGCACAACTGTTTGCATACATCCCCGACTTCACCGGCATTCCACTACCATGCCAGTTACTATATCGCCTAATGTAAGTACTAATACATATAGTAATAATTTAATTATAATAATATTATATAAAATATAACGTAATTATAATAATACTTGAGTTGATGTTTCTTACGCGTTCGCAAGGACAGCATGCGACACAATTTGTACGACACCGTTTAATTAAAAAAAATTCGATTCAAGTCACATTATTATCGAGAGATAAACGGAGCAAATTGTATTTGGAAACTGGAAATTATTCATGATATACTGCATATAGATTTTATAAAACTTTTAATATTCGAGTTATGATCGTAATTGTTATTAGTTGTGTTACTTAATGTCGATTTAAAAGCAGAAGAAAAAGTCGAAATCGTTTCTGGAACAACTTTAATAATATGAATTACAAGAATGATCTAACATTAATCTGGTAATCATGTTAGGTATGGAGAAGTCACGATTTATAGGAGCATACGGATCATACGGTATTAATGGTTGCGTATATATGCATGGCATGTGACATACAAATTCATTAATGATCCGACCAATCAAACCTCGCCGAGTGAATCACGATCAATCAGGAGAAGAGGAATACGTACTCGCAGATGAATCGCACATCGCGTTCGAAAATTGCAAACAATTTTTTTTTTAATCGTTATTCGACCAAATTTAAATGTTAAGAGAAGAAAATCGCAAATAAAATTCCAACACAAACGAAAAGAAGAAATGTAAGGGTTGCGATAACCGTTGATAAAAGTTGAGAAAGTTGGGCATATATGGGTTAAAGGATATCCTCGTTCTCTTACCTGTGAAATAGAATTGAATCGAGCGTCACGCTCACGGAAGATCGTTTAAAAGGAATTACAATCGGGGGAGAGCACGGGATAGAAGATGGTGGCGAATGAAAACGGTAGGGTGAGAAAGCGATATTTCGTCGATTCCTATTCGGTGGTCGTAGATAAACTTGGCCGATCTTCCGAATGTGTGCGTGGACTCACCGATTCGTTGAGCATACTCTTTCGTGGCTCAGCTACGGTTCGACGTAGTGAATTGAAATTAACATAAAATCGAAATGCCGGGAAACTTTGCGCATAAAGAGTCAACTGCCCAAGTTCGTTGAATGGCTGCGAACGGGCAACTCCGTTTCGGTATGAAAGGAAGGCTCCTCCTTTCCTCTTCGTTTTGTGTTCCTTCTCCAGTACTCTCATGGAACCTCGAACGTCGTCGTTTCCTTCCAAGCCACCACGCTGCGTTGTCGTCGTACGCGCGGAGAGAGACTAGTATAGAAAAGGCTTTGGAATAATTAGACGAGCGGTCCGTTTCCGGCGGTGCGATAACTGCGATAACGCCGGCCGTAGACCAATAATTCCTCTGGGCTCTCGCGCGGTCGGCACACGGCTATACTGTTGCACGCCCGTTTGCTCTGTGTATCTCGAAAATATAAGGCACGATAACGTGCCGGCCCGATAATAGACGACTCGAATACGGGGAGGATAGCTTTATCACGGAGCTTTTTCTTTGTGTGCAACACGAACTCAGCGCGTGGAAATGGAAAGTTTATCGCGGGGTCTCGCCAACTCGAAATAAAGTGCTAAGCACGCCAGCCAAGTTTTCAAACGTCGATTCCGCCCGAATAGTCGCGATATGAAGTTTCTCTTTTTCATTATGTCCCTTGACGAATTGTCGTTACCGAATAATTTCGTTAATACCGCTGACGGATCTTGATCGGAGGGCGAATTTCCAACAATTTCTCCTGTCTGAAGAGATTTCGTATGGACGCATATGGCCTGTCAATGGATAAGAGCACAAGATTCTGAAAACTCGCGGTACTCGCTGGAGCGAAAGAATATTTTTTCAATAGCGAACATTCAATCAAGTTCTTCGAAGTAAAATATCACTTCGTTGCTGTCAATTAGTTGTGATGTCGCTGAATTTTATATAATATAAATATCGCTAAAGATTAATAGTAAAACTTCCGATGCTTCGTGGAATTAATTTTCAAACGGAAATCGTTGTCCATCCAATATACAGAATCGAGCGAAGCCGATGATAAAGGTTCAAAACCAATTTCTCATATTATATCATATTATATTACGGGCAAAATATCAAGACACGTTTGCGACATATTTCGAAAATATAAAAACCTCGGTATGTGACGGTTAAGAAGCACGCTTCGTTCGTACGCTGAAGATCACGTAGCACGATAATGGCTTCCTTTCCGTCCCTTATCGTACCGGCGACATTCAAAATCCCGGGACCATTACCGCGAGGCGAATAGTACCCTTTTCAGGTAAGCAGGTAGATACATACATCCCCTTGGAAATTTCCTTTTTACTTCAGTCGCGACAGATTATACCGTCGCCCTTTCTGATTTTCGACTTCGCCCTACTATCTCCGATCCTTTCTAGATGCGTCTCACTTTTATCTTGCGTTTCAATTTTTCTTTCTTTGCATCATTCTTTTCCTTCGCTTTGCTTCGTCTCCTTTGTCAGAAGCAAATTATACATTTAAAAGTAATGTAAATTATTGTAAACTATTGTATATTATAATGTAAAGTATTGTAAACAATAATAATAAAATAAAATATATCATAAAAAAGGTAAAATATATAGTAACAAAAATAGTGTTCAGATTGAAATTTCAAAAATCTATATAGAGGAAAAATTTCTCCTCGGTACTAACTCGAACGAAGATTACCTTTCTCCATGTATGACCAACTATTTCTTTCCAAGTGGCTACTGTGATTCTCTCTTTCTCTCATTTTCTGTAAAATATGCTTCGTTCTAAGTATTTTCTAAACTTTTTCTTAAGACTGGTAAGGATGTAAGTAAAGGGTTTGTTATTTGCCTATATCAGCTGATAGTAAATGAAATATCAATATTTGATTTTAGATGAAGCAAAATTAATTTTCTGGTTAAATCATAGCGTTCGTCGTTCAAGAGAGGTTTTCGTCGACGATGAACGTAGGACTCTCCGTGTTGGCGTAACTTTCGGAAATACGAACTCCCGACCAATGGCTATAGCTTGAGAAGAGATTGAGGAAGGTCGAACTTGTAATAGGGATTTATTGTTCGTGAAATACGTTCAACGTCAAAGATGATAATGAATTTCTCCATAGAGGCAATAAATGTTCCGTGATTCAAAGAATCATTTAACTTACATGCCCTACAGAAAAGGAATCGACGAAGGTGGCCCGATTTCAACCCCAATCGGTAACTTATTTCAAAATCTGTTCAATGAAGATTAGAATGTTACAAATATACGTATATATGTACGTTGCCAGAAGTAGAGATAAATACGTATATTTTACGTTTGGATGATTATATACGACACTGTCATCTTCGAAACTTGATCGACTAGGCCTTGGTTAGGATGTGTGCAGCGTTAGAAAGAACGGTAGTATGATTTGCACAGCATTGTGCGTCATCAGCAACGGTTCGCCAACGAGCGTAAAGACGACAGAGGTTCATTAATCCGTTGCGTCGCGGATCGTTCGTCACGACATTGAAACAAAGAGTAGGGGTTTATCGAGAACGACGTCTAATAAACCAGCGGCGGTTTCTTGTCGCAGGGCAGGGCTCATTCGGCTCAACGCTAACATCCTGTCATCAGTCTTCATTACCGAACAATGGCCTGGTTCTGCGGTTAACAGCTTATCCGTGCAGGGAACAACGCAGCTCACTAGCAAGTATGATGTGTCTCTTGAAACGGAACTCGTCCGCGGTTAAGGGAACAATGGAAATAGACGATTAGGTGATATCGGATAATAGCTGAAGAGGTGGCGAACGCATCAGTGATTCAGACGAACGGGGAGGTGAATGATAACGCTGCGTCATCTTCCACCCTGGGACCGTAAATCGCCGAGGATCTTAAAATAAAAGGAAACCTCCTGCTCCTTTGCCGTTCTTTGCGCTAATGTAATTACCAGGAAATCTCAGTTGCACTGGAAGGTGTAAAAGATAGCTTTTTATCGTGGGTTCGTTCAAAGAAAGGATTAACTCGTAATTCTCTAATTGAATAACGAACTAATTTCAAGACCAAATTCCGGGCATTCGGAAGTTTACATTATGGCGCCAATAGTTCGAGCTTGATCGTGAAAGCTCCATTAGCTTGTTTAAACGTTCAATATCAATTTTGTACATTCGGCACTTTCTCTCTCTCTCTCTCTCTCTCTCTCTCTCTCTCTCCCTCTCGTGGCCTGCTATTTTAACCCCTTCCTCCTTTGCCTTTCCTCTCCGTTACCCTAGGATCTCTTTCTCTTACGTTTGTCGTATTAATTAACGGAAGACGAAACACAGGTTAAGCATTTCATTCGGATAGGATAATATAAACAAGTCAAAGTATCGTGTTATTCAGCAGACTGACAGCATCGGCCCATTACCTCTCGCAGTAAGAACAACTAGAACCCTCTTATTCCTCTCCCTTTGGCAACTAATCTTCTAAAACATACGAACTAGGGCTGCTGCGCAACGTTATGTTCTCTCGGGCTATTGGCTTATCCGACTTGTGATTCGCAACACGCGAGACATAGTCCTCTACCTTCTCTTATAGATACACCCGCCATCGCAACTTACTCCTTTGTTCCTTTGTCGTAATTAAACTCTAAATTACATTTTCTGGAATCTGCCAATCACGATGGCATCTCTTTACGCGTATGTATCCCACATAAACAATAGTTTAGGCGTAACATTGAATTCACATTTTTATCAGTTCTCGCAAGCGCTATCGTGTTACGAAGGTGGCACGTTTTTATGTTGGCGATTTCAAGCACGCAAAATGATGTTCTGGCAATCAATCTCCGTAATATATCCTTACTCGTTAAACCGTAATTAACCCCTTGAATTACAATTTCACGATCACAGTTTGAAATTTATCTTGAACCCTTGTGATTGATGCATTTCCTTTTCGGGACTCCTCGAATTGTTAATTGCAAACGCTGCTCAACGGCCCGATGTAAAAGTTAACGTTTTATTCCATTATGGGCTTTGCCCTGACCTCCTTTTGCGTTAAAACCTTTTAGCCACCGTGCTTCTAGTTATCGCATCTTTGATAAAAAATCAGGGGATGCATAAATTTACGATTAGCTCGTTGTATTATCAGGATGAAATAACTCTTATTACAGAAGCAATTTTGCTTTCCTCCGTCCTTCGCTCAGGTCAATTATCCGATATATAGGCAGATTCGCAAAATATTAAGTTCGATCTTTTACGTTTGAGACATCGTTGAAATAGAAGTATATGTACGCAATTAAAAGTTAAAACATGTAACGAAACGCAGGTACATGGTATTTATTTTATTAATTTGGAATATATGAAAACTATCCATCGAATTAGATTTTAATTTAACTGCCAAAGTAGAATACATAAAATTTAAGCTTGGTTTTCAGACGATACTCATAAAACTGCAATTAAAAACATTCGAATGTGGGAAGTCGTATTTCTTCCCATCGACTGCGTGCTTACTGTCCGTTCTACGAGATCGAAGCTTCTCTTTACATCCATCGTTGGTATCACCTTATCAGAATGGAGTCGTAAGCCTGCAATTTCGTGAGTACACCGTAGCATTCTAAAAGCGGACTAACCGTGCTATGAATAATGCAGTCCCGTACGTCTTGCTCTTCCCGTTGATAATTATGTTTTACACCGTTATACCGTGTTTCGTTAACCCAGCTACCCCCTTTGCATCCGCTTCGATGCCACCGCTGCATATTCATTGCTTATAAGCCCAAATATATGTATATTCGAGTTGAAAGACGAGCCCGGATAAAGAAAATGGCAGAATTAGGAAATTCGGTGATACGGCGAATTTGGCTAGTGAACTGCTCGAAAGTATCAATTAGATGTTAAACTTGGCGCATGGTCGATAAATGTACACAATTTTCAATGTGGAAACCAAGTTACGGGTTATTAACAAAGTCAGCAAATGTACTTTCTTGGTGAAATGCCTCGTCAAACACCAGGAACCAGCGCACTCGGTTAAACTTTCCAACGTTGACTCGGCTAAGTTCTGCTTTCCTGACGTTCGTGTAGACGGCCTCGAGTATTTTAACCATCTCCGGCGTTACCGCGCTCTTTCTCCAACTTCTAACCAAACTTTAATAGCAATCCAATATAGCGGGTTTAGCAGGGAAAGCGAAAAATATTACGAACCCTGGCTGCTATCGAACGATAGAAAATTACCGTTCTCTCCTCGCCTCGGATAAATCGAGCTTAGCATCAAGGTTTGCAAAGTCTCTAATCGCGGGTTAATTGCCGACGTGGATGAACGTTTTCCAGGTTGGCTTCGGTGGTGGCGTGTGAAAACAATATATCGCTGGGTAACCGCGACACCACCTACGTACGAATCAAGCAAACAGGCTCACGTATGCTATCTGCGAAATCACGTGAACTTTCAAGTCCCGAGCATTTCCATGTAGGCACACATGATACCGAAGTATAAGGGGTAGCGCGGGAGTAATTACAGCTCGCGCGCTGTAACTCCCTATCTACGAGATCGAAATTGCCATTGGACGGCGTATCTTGCGCTGCTTCTTTACGGGCCCAGTTACTCGGTGTACGTTGTTTGCATGTAAACGACGTCTTTACACGTAGCAAAGGTTAGCCTGCCGCTTTGTGTCGTCTGTTTCGCTCGCGACAAACTACAACTAGATTCTTTATTTCAGGCAGGTATGTAAATTAACGTGTATTAAGAGATTTTGGATCAGTCTCATTCGAGAAAGCTCGGCTTACGTCGCGCTTACCTGTATTATTTAATAATTCCATTAGAAAAATTTTTATTATCTAAAACCGTGTGATTAGTTTAACTATCTCTTTAGCTCTTTTTGTCTTACTCCTTGTGTATTTCACTCGTGTTTTATTAAAATGTGTGTGAAACTACATCGCGTATTCGTGTATTGTATTTTTCTGTGATATCGGCGCGCGCGAGAAAATAATATTTCCAGATAACAACTAAACGTCACGAGATAATCATAAAAATAGAAATAAGGTTAATGGTACGCAATATAAAATACAGGATACCGAATAATTTATAAAAATTCCGTTAAAAAATCCACATCTCCCTTTTATCGAAACGTATCGATACGAATATCAATGGGTGGAAATAACGAAGAATTTTGCGATGTTTGACAAGATCTGCCATCTGTCCCGAAATATTCTTCTTTCCGCCGGCTTACGTAAGGCATACAATATTCTCCTTTCTCACGAGACAGAAAATTTTACAGGCTTCGGTCTACGTATACATATACTACGAGTTGGTGCAGTAGACGCTTGGAGAAGATAGACTCGGTTGCATGGCGCATGGCGTCATGAGCGTAACGATATACGTGCTTCGGAGGTCGAGACTGGTTAGGGATTGGCGCCGTATCGCTGATCTGGGCTCGTCTAGGCGTAATGCCACCCCTGGCAGGCCAGTCACGTCCCCTGCTACTGCTATTCCCTGCACCCTCATCCCCGTAGCCCCTTGCGGACCATAGTAAAGTTATGCTCGGGTCCAAGCGGTCAGTCCGAGCGTGGATCCCACTCGATGCAGAAACGTACTATGGGATCTCTTAGTCTCGATTTACTATTTATTTGCCTATGTGCGTCTAGGAGGACCTACGAGCGAACGTAGACGCACTCTATGAAACTCTATGATTAACAAAGAAGCTCGCTTAGCAGTGGAATGAGAACGCGTGTTAAACGTTCGCGATCCAATGGAAAATTTATATATTACTTAACAATACGGGATACAAAGTATTTCTTCAAATTGTTCCAAGAAATTTTAATCTTTATTACTCTGAAAATAATTGTACGAAATAATGTAAATTACCAGGGATCTAATAATCATAAGCTGCTGTAGAGTGTTTCCGCGGGTAAGCGATAGAACGCTTTACGAATGTCAGAAATGTCGGAAACTGTTGTTCAAACTTTACGGTGATTAAAATCACCTCCCAATCGGTATAATTCAGTGTCGTAAATGTCGAGGGGCTTCTTTAGGAAATTGAAAGAAAAGCTAGCTTGGCCGGTCCTTTTACGAGGCGTCAAACGTTTCACCTCGTTAAAAGCTAGTAGCTCGTGCCGGCACTGGCATTAAGTAATGCGATACGGTCCGTCGGCGACGAAGACGAAGGAGGCGAAGAAGAAAAAGAAGCAACCGGAGCAGAAGCGGCTGAGAAAAGAAACCGGGCTGGTGGAACTTTCCGTAATTAATACGTTAAACTTTTGCACAACTACACCGGAACTCACGTACCACCGTTGCCTGCTGAATGTCAATGATCAAAATCGCTTTTTGATATAATTCCCAAGCCGTGGCCCGAAAACGTGAGCTGAAGATCGTTCCTGGTTGAATGCAAAAGATCCCGCCACGCTCGTTTCGTTGATGCGAATACATCAATTTCTTCTATTATGTTGTAATCGTGAATTTCAGGTTGAAACCTCTTAAGCGAGGGAAATGTAATTCTTTCGGCGATTAGCGATAGCTCATTATCCACGTAATTAGTAGTTTGTGTAATGAATTTAAGTGTTTCCACTTTGGGATTAGCATACTAACTAACTCGGCTCATTCCCTCAAACTCCACTTCTAATTCGAGTTCACCCATTCTACCTCTTTCTCTCTTCCTTGAATACGAACTGAATCGCAGGTGGTAAACTGTCTGAATCGCGCTGGATGTAAAGTAGATGTTCGCATTTACTTCACCGATGTAACCGTACTACGTTAATCTCCTGTCCATGCTTCCTCGTCCATGTAACCTTTGATATGTGAAAAGTATTAAACGATGATAAGGAAAAAAGCATTTTAACACGATGGATTTGCAATGAAACGAAGGATACAAAAACTGACTGACTACTCGTAGATACCGAAAATTTACTATAATCAAAAACAACACTTATGTAATTCCTTATCGTTTTCTCGAACGATACACTCGTGTCCAATTTATTCAGTAGTAGATGTTTATCGATTCACTACAAACACGATTACGTTGATCTCGATACACCGTACGGAGTTAATAGATCTCGCGTACGGAATGGGCTGCAACGTGGTATTGCTAAAGCTATTATTTAGTCGGTAGTTCGGTCCGAAAACCGAGATAAAGTACAGACTCGATCGCGAAGTAATTTCCTTCGTGGGGAAAGTGGAAAATCGGAACGGTCACGGATGCTCGAACGGACTGTACACACAATGTCTTGGCTATATTCCGATATATTGGTCATATCGATGTTTGTAAGGGAAGAAGACACTCCGTAGATGGGTGGTGGGTGATAGGTGCAAACAAGAAACGAGAATCCCTTTAGCCGATTCCTCTCTCGTCGTGTATACGTCGTGCCGGAGAGCAGACCAGCCTATACCAGAGCAGCCTAGAACCAAGAGTAGAAATCCACGTGCAGAGTGAGTAAGAGAGCGAGAGAGCGAACGACAGAGAGAGAGAGAGAGAGAGAGAGAGAGAGCAGAGAGCTAGACACTGTGCCGGATGAAACATACACAGTAGCTAGTCGATGTGATTGGCCACGTGCCAGAGGCCCCTAACGACGCTTTCGAAAGGAGGAGAATCCTACTTCGTCCTCTCCAACGACGAGCCTCCAAAGATACCCCGGGACCAGTGGCGGTGACGCAATGTTGCCGCAATCACATTTTGACACGCCTCTAGCCAACAACCTGCACCTCTCGGTAGGCACCTTCGATGTTTTGCACCGGTATTGGGTTCGACCGGTATCGATCAAATCGAAACGACAGCAGGTTAGTTTTCTCTGAGCGTCACTTATTGACATTTAAGCTCACGGCTGATCTAAATAAAGTATCTAAATAAATCTAAATAAATAATAGGAATACCAGTTCCTATATCTCTTATATCGTTGACTCATTTAACGTTAAAACGTTACATATCGAAAAATACGCAACACGTTAAGTATTTCGTATTGTTGTTGTAATTAATCTTTACAACAAATAACATTATAGTACGTTACAATATTAATCGGTGATAATAAGCACGATGGTGATTAATAATTGTTACAAAACATTCGGCAAGATATTTTCAACACCTAACAGACAGTCATCTTTAAATGCTAAGACTAGTGAAACAGCGGGGTGGAGTAAAGTGCCGTGAAATAAAGGAGTATCTGCAAGGTGATTCGGTAGGCGCGGCGCGAGTTTTAGTGGTTGTGGATGGAGAGTGGTTGTATCTAATTTAAATTCTCGACATAAAAAGCTTGCACAACGCGAGGAGTGGTTTGGATAGCGTGGATCGCGGCCAAGCCACGTGCGGCTACGAGATTCATTCCGCTTTACATGGCCAGTCCGTACCCATCCACCTCTTTGCGTCCTCCGAAATTCCCTCTTCAACGTCCTGCTCGCACCCTCTCCCTCTTTCTCTCTCTCTCTTTCTCTCTCGCATGTAAACGCTGTCTCTTCTATCTAGACCTCATCTCTACGCAACCTATTTCACATCTCTGGCTCAAACCTAACCCCAACCTAACACGAGTCATCCCTTCTAGAAGGAGTTGTCCACCGAAGAAAAAATTACAGATGCAGATAGTCTTATCAGGCTTTTTATTTCGCCGAATATAGTATTTATTTTCTAGCGAGTGTTTCAATTATGCCTTACTTGATAACGTTCCCATAGGCGAAATAATGTATTCCATTTTTCCGCGCATACTACTCAACCTAAAAGAGTATAGGACTCGCAGTTGTAACGATATTCAATGCCGACATGGTAAATCGAACCGCACAAAGTGAAACAAAAGCGTTGTGTTAAGAACAAGCCTACCCTCGTAAGCTTTAATCGTCGAGAATTATGTAGCATTATTACGTGAAGTAGATCGTTACTTCAAAGGCAAGAGCGACGGTACGCTTCTGACCCTTGGTTGTCGAAAGATTGAAGCAAGTTCAACCATCTCGATACCGGTAGAGATAAAACTAGAAATTTACTTCCATCTGGTAATAGGGTAATCTGCTCCTAAGGTTATTCAAGATTCAGCGAAAAGAGCGTGTTCGCATGACATCGGTCTAAACTTTTTCGATCATGTTCTTTCCCTTCTCTAGGACATCGGTCGTTGATAGAACTCGAAATATGTACCACCCTTTCTTTCTCCGTTACTCTTCAAAGCGATGAAGAAAGCCATTGCCTTTCATTCTTATAACGTTTCGCTCCAAAAGAAGAATACGTAATAATCAACATTTTTGTCGTTCGTTTGAAAAGTAAATTTAATTCACACACGAGTATACGTTACCATTTGAACGGGAATAAAGAACTGCGAAGGAAGCGTTCAATTAAATTCACAAAATAATATTATCCCATTGAATCGCCTGCAATTATTCGGAGTAGAAGGGCGTTTCAAGCGCAGGAAATTTTGTCGATTACCGTTGGCAAAAGTGTCTGCTGCCCCATCTGGTATAATTACCGAACGAACGTTTTCTACTCTTTTTCCGGCGATGATATCGAAAAATAAGCAGAGACAAAAAACGCAGGCGCCCATTAATAACGATAGAGTTTTATCGTTTATTCAGCCGAGTAATTTGCAAAGGAGCTATCATAATTATGAACGAAGAGCAGGCTTGGCGACATAATTTAGCATCGATCTAACTGCAAGTACTACTTCAGATATCCCTAAGTTGGAGAAGTGGAAGAGAGGCAAAGATTGCAAAATTATAGTGCAGCGATGATGAAATCGGTAAAGGAACTTTCGAGGTACAAAACTGGAGAATTCCGTTGAAGACCAGCTGTCATAACCACGTGCTTGGTGATTCCCGATAGACACGCCAGTAACAAAGAGAATTAATTATTTTCTTGAATCGAACACCGTTGCCTGCGGTAAATTCCGCTACTTAATTTTCCAGAATATTCTGTATTCAAAGAAATGCTTCTTAATTAAACGGGATGTTCTAGCGCGCATGCGAGATAAGAGCGAATAATTATTCTTATCGTTACTATAACGAAAGGAAAATATAGTAACAACTACATAAGAAATACAAAAAAGCGAAAAATAATCTGTAATCCTAAAAAGGGGACTCGGCAGTCTAACTGGAAGAGGTTATTGTCAAATAAAATTGTTTCGGATCGAATACAGAGTATTTATCAAAGCGTCGACTCTTCTACATGCAGTAACCATTACGTGTCAGTGAACTATCACGAATGATCGTATATATGCTTCGGACAGCGATCGTTCAAAATCGGTTTTCGAGTGACGAAAATGATGCATACGTATTCACGATGCTAGTACTCTTGACCGCTTACGTATCCAGCATCTATCGATTCCCGGGCGAATCGCATTTCCGGTGATTCACGATGCACGCACAACCCTATCCGACGCATTTATACCGGCAGTAAAACCGAATGATGTGTGTCAAATATTAATACCATAGTAGTGGCACGAATCACCACGGGTATGGATTCTGGTCCCTGGGTGCCGAGCCACGCCAGATTTCCGATCAGACAATGCTTATCGATTATTCTGCACGTCACATGACACCTTTCCGCCAGGAATACTTCTCTTCTCTTCTCTTCTCTTTTCCTTTCGTCAGTCGCCTCACGCATCCATTAATAGTTAGACAGCTCGGAAGCACGATTGCTGTGATATATGATCTGAACACCTAAAAGCTATTTCCTACCAATACAGAAACGTTCAAAAATTCTAGAAAACTTTATTCCATCAAAGATACTTATGCCATTTATAATTTTCGAAGATGAACCAGCCAATTTTGTTTTTTTTTTTTTTTTTGCTATTCATCGACAAACCCTATGAACGATGAAGAAGGATTGTACCTGTTAAACGTGGGATTACAAGGATCGGTTACAAATTCGTCGGTGGTAAACGATAGCGTTGGCGTGGAGATCCGCGCGGGCTTTAGAAATTCCCAGGGTGGCTGCTGGTAGCAGCGGGGTTACCTCGATAAATCACACGGTGCGCTCGACAAAAGGGGCCCGACGAAAGGGCCGTCGCCATAAACGTATAAAGTAATTACGCGTTGCATCCGCGATATGCCGGCGTCGGCAAGCCATTCACCGGGATCCGCCTATGTCCTGCCTATATGGCGATCAAAGCTGGTTCCTGTAGCATGAAATAGCAGGTTAGGTAAGCTATGCGCGATTTTCGCCGCATCGAAACCGAAGCTTTCGTCGCGCGCCACCGTGACGAGGATTATATTTCGGGGCCGCACATTATCGGGACACGTACTCGATAGAGCACCTGTGTGAGAGACGGCTGGCTCACTGTGCACTGCCAGGTAGAACCATGGATTTCATCGAGTTAAACCCTCTTTCGCCCCGAGTCCCCTTTCCAGCCCTTGCAATTCCATTCATATTCATGCGAGACCGATTCAAACGCGTATTACGTCTGTCAGAAGCGATGGTTCGCGATCGTTCGAGGAGAAGCAGCTTTTGAAATGGAAAAAGACGCGCTCGTTCGTTTCCTCTCGGTCAAAAGGTGCCAGCTAACTTTCCCACGATACATAACTCGCACGCTTTTAAACTTGAAAATTCTTTCGCTCGATCAGTTACCTTCCTCTTTTGAGAGAATGTTATCAGGTATATCTCGTTCAACAGATATTGTCCAAAAGTCGTAAATTAGTCGTCGACAGCTATTGACGTTGCGCGCTCGGAGTCGTACGTATTTTATAGAAACACCATCAGAATGCAAGACTCATTCACGGCTCGATACATCAAATTTTTTTATAAACGCATTGTGCGAATACAAAGGAAGAAACAATTCTATATCAACAATGCGGCTTGACAACGAGCTTTCATACGAGCTTTGAAACGCTTCGAACATAATTCGAAGCTTCCATTTTTTAAGGACTCGATAAATTTTGAACGTTCAGCTTTTAAAGTTTTAATAAGTATGTGGAGGATGGTTGGTTCAGTTGATGTTTAAATGACTAGATTACTTGTTTCTAAAACCGTCAAATATATTTTAAAATATTACAAATATAATTCAGTCGACCGTAGATTGGTCGATGACTGGTCGTTAAAAGAATGTTCGATAAGAACGCTCGATACTAACTGATTCGCTAAAGACTGCGTATTCATCGCTAATAAAATTGTTCAAGACTGAAACTGACAGAACTGGTCATCTTACGATCGCGTTCGTTTATTTATACTGATCAGGGGAGTACCGGAAAGTTTAAATTCGACATTGACGACTGCACGTAGCAGCGATATTGTTTTGCGCGGAGTTTGTTTACTATTACATTATGTATATCCTAACGATGTTGATACTCCGAAGCAAAACAACAACACGATTCGAATTATCCTCTAGCTCGTGTGCCGCTACAGGTATCTAAAGTCAAAATTATCAAAGTCGAGGTTTTCTGGAGTAAATAGTTTGCAACGTTCAAGAAAAGTTTAGATATTTCGTTTAGGAAGACAGTTTTTATTTTCGTTCTACTTGAGAACAATTTAAGAAGTATGAAAAAGTTCGAGGAAAAAGTAAAGGCACTTTGTTCTATTTGCACGTGTTCTTAATGTGACAGGCGTAGTATATCGAAGTCGTCGTAACTGCGTTCCCAATCTTCTTTCTATCTGTGCGTTTAACGCGTTTTACAGCCATAAATCCAGTTTTTCTAATAAAGTCGAACACTAATTGTGAGTAATATTGACTAAATTATTATGAAAGAACGTGAGAATGATTACGAGTAACACTTGCCTGACTGGATCGAGCGCCAACATTATTTCCAACACTAGTTACCGTTTCATCGTAATAAATTGCGACAGTCCGACGTTTATCTGATTAAGTTCTTTATATTTTTTGCTAATTAGGTTCCTTCTTAATATAATGCAAAGGTATTGCGTGTGTTCCTAATGCACCCATTTTACAGACATAAATCGCACTATACGATCGATGGACGTAATTTCATTGATCTTTGTTACAGCCTTATCAGGCGTTTTCCCGATTTAATTATCACACGTATAAGCACTAAAACGTGGGAATGCAGCCCCAATACAATACAAATGAACATAAAGATTGATGAACAAGACCAACAATGGGAACTGATAGATAAGATTAGGTAGGTCAGCAGAAATGCTGTTTCCATCACAGCCCGTTAAATCGAGCGTAGAAATAAGAATACCTACATGCTCGACAGGAATCCAAATGGGGCCTGGTTGCTCGCAAAACGATGTATTATGTATACGGAATAAATGGAATAGAGAGCAGTTCGAGCTTGGGTCCTTCGGAACCAATAGGGCGAGCTAACGGTCCTGCCATCGAACATATTGCCATGGTCACGTGTATGCGTCCCCTCTGCCCCCATATCCTGCCAGAGTAAGTTTTCGGACAGAAGAAGTACCGATGTGGATAAATTCTCCGAGCTTCCAAAACTTCCACGCAACGGTGAAAGTACAGATATAAGCACAAGTAGAAAGTCCACGCACAATGCTTAACGCGAGATACCGATCTATAAGAATCATATTTCCTAAAATTTATCCTGGAATTGCTTCTTATTCCATTTCCTATTCAAAGTCGCACTTCGCTCGAGCGCCTCGCTATAGCTGAAGTTTTGCTTTGCGCGAACTGTTGCAAATATATCTTGGCCGTACTAAATGTATATTTCCTAACATGCGATACAAACAAGTATTTTCAATTACAAATACGATGTTACAATTCGACGTCGTAACCTTACCCCGCGAGTCTCACCGAACATTTATATAATCCGTGAAACAAGTTGTTAGAACAAAGCATATATCACAACCTGTTAAACTCAGTGTTATACTAATTCAACCACCTCTATTATCCTAACCGAAATATAACTGCCGTTGACGCGCCTTCTCCGCGAACGATCGAACAGATATATTACTGCATTATAAACACGGTGAATTTATAAAGTAACAATCTTATTAGTAATCGACGAATAAAATTTCCAATATGCTAACGAAGTATGGTAAAATGGAAATCTCCTGGAAGTTTATCGAATAATTCAAGAACAGTAAACTTTATGGTTCCTCCCAATAGTTTCATTTTTCTTATACCATAGTGTAATATATACCATATTATACCATAGTGTGTATATAATATTCTCTTACAGAGTACCGACAACTATCATCAAGCCATTACTATTTACTTCACTTCGCAATTCAGCTTTCATTCTATGCAATTATGCGCACAGAAAGCTTAAATACAGCTGTCCTTCTTATAATTTTATTTTATGAGTACTAAAGGTTAATTCGATTCAACGCAACATAGGACAACAATTGAAATAAAGTTATGACAGATCAAAAGGTATTAAACGAAACGTTAATATTGAAAGCGTAACGACAATTGTGCGATTTCATAAATACTGTATTTCTGTGAAAGATACTCGCGCAAGTAATATTTGGAAGAAGGAGAAGTAGGGTAGTAAGTTGTTATCAAGTGCATCTCGAACTTTAGGTGACTGGTATGAGTTCATGCTCATCGCGGATATCGATTGTAAAATGTTCAGCCTCGTGCTTCTCTCTGATTCATTCGATTCGGTGATCATTCCGTCTATCACCTCCGTAATAGAAAGAAATGGAGAACGTGTAGGCGCAGTCAGAAGGAAAAGGGACTAGAAAGAAAGGGAAAAAGTTATCACGGAGGTCACGAAATTTCTGCAGCTTCGCGTTCGTTCCTATTTCTTTGTTTTCGTTCCTTTTTCACCTCCGAAAAGTTTTCTACTGTAGATACCTCAAGACTCTCGCACAGAATCCTTCGTAAAAGTCACCTTGCTCTTCTATTGTTCAACCATTCGCGAACTTCTCTCTTTCTCTCTGTTCCTCTTTCTCTTTCACGATCTTTCCCTTCGTTTCCATACCATCCTCTTGAATCTTGGTGTACACTTTCGTTTCTCCAGTTACTTTTACTTGGTCCCTTTCTTTGGCTGTTTGCATTGCAGCAGCGCGGCGGTAGCAACGGCGGTAGTAGTAACAGTAGCAGTAGCAGTTGGCGGCGGCTGCGCGTTTCCGAACTTTCAAACTCTAACGAAATCTTGGGCAAGGTGAATATTTTATGCGTAAATCAAATCCCGGCAAATATACGCGAGAGAGCGAGGATCCGTGGCATGCAGCAGCTAAATTGAATAGAAGCGCTACTTGAGTACAACCGTGTGTTTCGCCATTCGACCTTCTCATTTCCTCCTCTCTTTTCTTTCTCCACGTATTTCTTCTGTGACGCCATCATTTTCTCTCCCTTTTCTTTCCGTTTCTCCAACGTTCTTTATATCTCCTTTCGTTCTTTCGCATGCTATTCTCGTTACTCGTTGAACATATCTCACGAATACTTTTACTGGTTATTGAATTTTTGATCCGCAACAAGGACACGTTATTATCAAGGTTATTTGAATCAGAAAATTCGAAGTCGAGAAACTAGTATTTCCATCGACTTAGAGTGCCACGACGAATCATTTGAAGTTACTTCAAGATTTTTAGAACGATATCGAAGAAATCGTCACGGTACCATAATTAAATTTCTTTCAGCTTCCCTGTCGACCTATATATTCAAAGTCAAGTATTTCATACTTAATTTACATTTTCGATCAAAATACATTTTTAAATTATAAGAATTTGTTAGGTAGAATAAAAATTGTTTAAATAGTATAAAGACATATGAAATCGCAGGCGTGTATTATTAACCGGTAATCTTTCCTACTGTATTAATTCAAGGACGGAATATACCACCATCAATTACTAATTGTTGGTCGAAGTAACAGGCTGGGCGGCTTAATGGTTGAATATTTCGCACCATGAATCTTAGTCAGCGGGTGTTCGTGATTACGTTGTTATTTATTTGTTTGCGACTGGTTACTCTCTACAGGCCGTTTAGGGATCGTACATCCAGAGAAACACGACAGGGAGAAAAAGAAAATTATTTTTCCCTGTCGCTTGGGAAAAATGCCAACGTCCTCTCACCTAGATACCACTCTGACCCAAAAAGGCACGCATTAAATTAATAAATTATACCGGTTCCTCTCCGTTGGCTCTAGTCCGAATTGCTTGGACTTTCGTGATCCTGACATTTACTACTCGCCGATGTCACGTACGCTTCGCCCGGAACGAAAGTTCCTTGTAGATTCGAAAGATAATTTGAACATTTTATTATATGAAAGACCGTACCACGGTAAATTCTCCATCGTCCATTTATTCGAGCGGAAACCATATTCTCGATTCTTTTACCGCGAACAAATTCCGCAAACTGATTATGAAAAATAATATCCAGAAGCGAAGACAGGATCACCGTTTCTTACGTGTACGATTCTTTTAATTCGAGCGTAAGAATCTCGACCGTTCGAACCTCTTTTATCAATCGCTGGCTGGCGAATGAAGTATCCGTCTCGAAGCAACCGTATAAACATAGGCACGATAATAACGAGAATGACGTAGAACAACGTTCCATTTTTCAGGAAGTTCGGCAGGGCCGTTTCCGAGACTGCATATTTGGCAATGCCATTAAAACGAGCAGCCTATTCGTAATCACGTCGGTGCGCGTACTCGTTCACAGGAACTGAAAATGCCGAATGAAAATTAGATACACGGAAAACCGGGCGAAGCTGTATAAACCGCGGCCGCGTTAAAATATCACAATGGCGCGGCAGGTGCATTTACTAGGTTTCACCAGGGCTTTGACGACAGTCGCCAGATAGCTCTTTCATCCGGTAATTAGCCGGAGAGCCCGAGGAGTTATCACCTGGTGCGATCATGCTCGTGTACAGTACGCGTGCCCTGTCTATTCGAGCACTCTATTCCGAGTGCTACATACTACCGGCAGCGGTTACCCGACCATCCTGCTTCTCCCTGTTTAATTAATTAACACTGTACCAAATAATAATTATCGAAATGAAAGATGGTATCGGTCGGCTTATTTATTGGTACGCGCCGATATCCTAGTTACATACGATAGCGTAGGTACGAACGGAGAAGCTCTGTAGCTCGTGCCCACTACAAACGCTTATCCGGTACCGTCGATAACCCTATCTAAACGCGACTACCCTAAGTGATTAGTAAATTAATTCACCAACCGATTTAAGCGTATTTAAGCGTTTTAAGATCGTGCGTCCTCTCCGTCCTCCTACTCGAGTTTCGTGCTAGGTATTTTTACGCTTATGGAGAACTTCCCTCGAGACTCGAGACATTCATAGATTTTTATCCACGTTTCCACGATCCTCCTTTCGTTCCAACTTCGTCTCCCTTGATGCCTTTTCCCTCGGTCTTGTTGCTTCACGTGATCGTTGTATTATTCAGATTCTTTCTCGCCAACGGAACCTCGACGTTTTCTCGCAAGACGTTTACGCGAAAGCGAGATCAAGCGTTACCCCGTTGGTGAATTTACTTTGCTACAACCGGAATATCGAGCGATCTTGAATTTTGTTATGTCGTTTATTATTTATTTGTCGTTATGTCGTTATTTATGTCGTAAATTACAAATAGTCGTAGAATTGTAAAAGATTAAAAATTAATCTTCGATCGACGGGGTAAAGTTATCCGAATCTATCGTTGTTAGACTTAATTTCCAAAAACCGTGATTCAGGGAATTTTCTGCCACGCAAAATATAGATGGACAACACATAACGTTCGAGCGTAATCGAGTTTCCTCGATATCGAAGCGAAGGCAAGGGGATCACAACGATATGTGGCGTGCAACGATCTGCTTGGTGCCAGGACTCCCGATAATTATGTGCCAATTAAATTTAACGACTATCCATTATTCTGGTTTGCGAACACGCGTACAAGCTCCCTACTTTTGTTATCTTCCTCTTTCTACCGATTCGACACCCCTTACGGCATTTACCGTCCCTCTTCTCCATTCCCATTGCTACACCGGGATCGAGGCGTGCACGCTGGCAACAACTAGCCAGGTCGAAATCCAATTACCTTTTAATATTGTCCGAATGTGCTTGAAATCGAATTGCCTTTTGCAAAACTCCACACGGTCTGGCTGAAAAACTGCGGAGGATTCCTGCCAGCAAATAAATGTTCCTTCGGTCTATACTTTCTTTCTCACATACATCGTAGTCAGAACGGTCTTGAGCAGCATGACGTCCTCTTTTTCTCTCTACCGTTTCCACATCCCGACGCAATTCAATAGAATAAAATGTCACTCGTCGTTTCAAATGGAATTGGAACGCAGATCCAGACTATGGTCTTACACGATTAGACTTAAATGCACGTAAGTGATATAGGGCAGGACGCATATGTCGGATATGGTTTCCATTAAAGAATTCCACATAGTATTTATACCGATATAAATATTATAATCGTTCTTACCATTTTCATTGCCAATACGAATATAATTTCGGAACAACTTTTGGTTTCATTATTTCGCTATTGATTATCGATTTCGATTATTCCAATTTCTTTGCCTCGATTATCGGTCGTGCGTACAATTATTTTTGCATCGGCATAACGTACAAATATGTAAATTTTAATAATACGAAATACCGCAAAAAGTTCTTTCAATTAAAAGTACTTCTTTATTATCTACTCGTGTAATTGTTTTACCCATAGCATAGTAAACGGCAGCATTTTTCGTTTTTCCGGTCGGTTCTTATTAAGAATTCAAGCACTTCGACCACAGATTCCCTCTTTACCGGATCGTAAACAGCGATCGTTTTCCAAACCCATTAAAACCGTGATAACAAGCTATCGCACCCTCTGAAACTTAATTAGCGAGGTCGATTAAAAAAATTCTAGTATCAATATTTATCGCGTAAATAACCAGGAATAAATTGCGCCCGTTCACGCATGTACATACATCGAGTCATTGATTTCACTCGATAATTAACGTCGCATCGAATAGTAAGAATATTTCTCACTGTTTCGCAATCAAAAGATATTTCCGTTGCATTACGTGTCCCCTAAAAGTTATCGAAACAAATTCGAGTCTGATTAGGTGGGATGCAAACTAATGGTACACCTATGAAACGAGTAAAAGAGGAACCATTCTCTAATCAAATGTCGGCCGTTTTATAGTAACGCACATCTACTCCTGGTCTAGAAATGGTATTCCGTAAGGGAGACCTTTACGCGCGCTGCATAAAAATTATTGGGTTTCGTATCCATTCTTCAAAAATATTTAAATTCCACAACGAAGCGAAACGTGCCTTTCCGTCCGTCGCTATCAATTTTCTACAGATTCGTATGCGGCAGTTTTCACAAATTCCTAACGTTATACAATAAACGCTGGCCCATTGAATGAAGCAAATCTTTCCCTCAGCTAGATACGACTTGGAATAAGAAGAAAATTGTACAAAAATATATTTAATATATAATAATACATTTGATCGATAACGAACTTCTTCACAAGGGAGGGAGATCGCGTTGAAAACGCTTTACATATTTCAAACTCATTACAAAGTCATTTAACATCAAGTGCCGCTAAATTGCAACTTGCAATTTGCAATTTTCGGCAAGAATTCGTATTTCAACGCGACATCGATCCTAGATATACAGCTGTTAGTGAACATCGACATATAATATATTTCATCATTTTTCTTAATTAATCAGTGATATTCATCATGCGACACTTGCTTACTTCTCTTTTCTGTCATACGTAAAAACAGCATGCTGTCTGGAATAAGAACAGACTATCGAATAAAAACCTTACCGTCAGTTTGATATATACGTTAATAGTGTTGCGGATCTTTCCGTCGTCCAATAAGATTGCTCGTGGCAGGAGACAAGCTTGACATTGTAACTTCTAACATCAAGTTTGGGATTCGAGTTGTCGGAGGAAGGGAGTGCAGGTTGTCAGGGTTGCGGGTACAAGGAAGGAGCCGATAGGGTGAGCACCAACACAGAGTGACCACTAAACACCTAACAACCAACAATAGCAGCCAACATCGAACACCGATAAACCAACGAAACTAAACCAACCACAAGTCACATTGTAACGGAACTCAGCGAATATGTACGTATACATATGTGTATATGTGTATGTATATGTGCGCGCACGCACGCACACGCACACACACACGCACACACATATATATATATATAGAATATAGAATGTATACATAATGTTGATGGATGTGTAAATACGTACGTGTGCGCGAAGAGTGCCACTGCCTCCACGTGTAAATTTATCTCGCAAATCATATCGCGAAACGGGAAATGATAAATCGTTTGTCAAATATTAAAAAAGAAAAAAAGAAAGAAACCAACGAGGATAACATATGCACTATGACCAAAAGTGATCGTTTTAAAAAAATAGTTGGACTGTAAAATTGTTCGATGAACAGATTTAATTAAAGTGCAATTCGCATGAAAACTGAAATTCAACGACACAATTTAATTAAGGGGAATGAATATACCGCAACGAAAATTTGCTTTTGTACCAGATATGTAGGTAGGTGCCAGGTAATGGAAGAATACGGTAATTATGACCGAGCTACGAAACCTTCTCGGAAAAATAAAAAAAACCGCGCAACAACGTTTTACCGAGCTTGATATTTAATTTAGCGTTCGAGCTCGATATTCGCAGCGCACTTTCTTCGCTACACGTGCGTTCATCAACAGTGATGGATACTATTATCTTTTGCGGGCTCATGACACGAGTTTCTGATTAAAACATTGAGGAACACTAACTGTGAGGCAACGACAACGTAAAAGTGAAACACGTTAAAACTTAATAAGGATGACATATTTTCAGAGACACCGAGTAGGGGTATGGTGACGTACCACATCGAGTACATTGAGAACGTGGTTCACGCGGACGACTCTAGTAGTGGTAGTTGTTGTTACATTGTGTGTTGTGGTCGTGGCAAGAAGAAGAAGAGATGGAGGAGGTGTGCGGCGCCCCCGGCCAGCCGGTCGCCCGTCACACCCTGAAACAGAATAATATTGTCACTTCCGTGCGGAATTACACCATCCCTATCGACTATCTTGTCGAAACCATTATCTAAAGTCATTATAAATATAAATATACGTGTCATTATATCTCGAATCTTTTAACACAATACAAATGATTAAAAACGGTTATAGTCTTTTTTCTCGTTTTTCTTGGTTTCAGTACTTCAGTTCGGTAATGAAAAGTTTTCGTTAATTAATCAAGAGTACTTCGCATGACGCGTAATGACGGTTGTTGTTAGCAATTTACCGATATTGCACCGGGGAGCGTACGTTTCATATAAATTTGAGACGAACGTTCTCGAATTGCATAAAAGTCTTCGACAGTAGCTCGACGAAACAGAATGAAATGAACCATAGTCTTTCAACGATGACTTTATTTCATGGTTTATTCCATTTCTGGCGTGATCATCGATCTGGCTGGCTTGAAAATGACGTTTTCACCGATGAGAGCTGTGAAACATTACACTTTTATAGCCGTAAATTCAAAATGATCGGCGAAACAATTTCTCGTGTTCCTTTTTTTCTTCTTTTTTTTCAATCACACCATTAATCACATAGAACACGAGATAATTATCAAACGAAACTGATAATTGATAATAGTCGATACGCAATCGTAATAGCCATCGAACGATCGAAACATTATTATGTAACAATATCGACGTTTAGTTAAGTTGGAACGTTCGATTTCCGAGTGTTCATCGGATCCTTGAAATATAGCAAGTCGATTTCACCGGTGACTCGATACTTGTGCCGCCTGGTTTGCTCGCAGAAAGTATTGGCGCGAAGTCGCGCTCAACGGAAGGACGAAGTCGAAAAAAGGGGTAAAGCTTTATATCGAGGAAAAGGGGATTTCGGATTTGCTGGACCGTGTCTACCCATTGCATCGTTTACGTTCAATACAAACGCACGGACGAATGAACGGACTAGAGAGAAAGACAGATAGAGGGGTAGCAAAGGGTGGTGGTCGGCTACGGACGGGGGATGAAAAGCAAGAGAACGATGACGGTGGAAAGAGGCAGAGTAGTAGAGGGGGAGAGGCTGAGAAACGGGAGCAGCGACCGGGATTTTAACGTCGAGCACACTCGTTTCGAGTCGATAGGTCCACTTCGGCTGGCTTGGGAAGCAGTCGACATGGTCCAGCAACTTCCTCTCCCACCTCAAACCCAACTCCCCCACCCTCTCGTTGCTCTTATACCCTTCGGTCCGAGACATCATCTCCGTATCCGGAAACAGGGCAGCACCGTTGCAAGTTTTCATAGATGCAACTCTCTCTCTCTCCCTCTCCCTCTCTCTCTTTTTCTATCCTCTCTGTCTCTTTCTTCCTCTCACGATTAATAAAAACTGCCGATCTAACTGGTTTTAAAAGAGACTCTTCAAGACGAAAGGATCCGGACATGGGAAAGAAACGGCTGGACACTCGACGTGTCGCGATTAAGGTAATTACAAGATTTCCATTAGACGCAAGGCATCGAATTGAATTTTTAATGAAAAAATGTTCGTGTTTACGACGAGTGGCGATTGTGGTAGGTATCATGGACTGGTGAAAAACGTGCGACGTGGAAAAGTATTATTCCGTTAAATAAGCAACTAGAGAAATGGCAAGAAAGAAACGAGGCATGTGACGTAAAAGAGTAACTCGTGGGAATTTCGCCATATGCCCTGCCACGGTAAGTGGAAAACGCGAAGTTTGCTTAACCCTAAAAGCCTTCAGTTTACGAGAAGCTATACAATTCCCTAAACTTTCATCAAAAGTAACCATACGACAAATAGCAGAGAAAACGGTTCAAGGAATCTATTTATATAAAAGGGAATAATTGTTAAACACGCAAACAACGACGATAAAATATATAAAATGTTTCAGTGATATCGGTACACACCGAAAAAAAGGAAAAAAAGACGTATCGGAAATAGTTCGATGGAACGATGAAATTCGTAGACGGAATACATTTTTTCATTTCAATGATACCGGTCGGTATTTTAATAAAGATCGAATTACTAACGGATCAACAATTTACCTGCCATGGGAAATGAATATTATCGATGTAAAAAAATGAGAAACACATTGAAAATGGTATTACAAGCAGTTCGAGCGAATAATTAAATATGCTGCTCGAATACTTTTGGGTGAAACAAATCACTGAAATTCCAATGGAGAATAAAATGCATTTAGTATTGGAAGGTTGAAATGGAAATGGATCGTCCCGATGGACGAAACGCTTTTTATTCTGGCGTGCACAGGCAGACGCGGCGAAATTTTATTTAATGGTTCTCATATGTTGAACGGGTTCCTTTTTGAAACAATGGTTCTGATGTAATCGAGGAAAATCCTCACGCTCACGCCACGTTTCCAGTATTATTAAAATCATTATTTCTGTCTCTTGGTATTCGCACGGAAATAAATAGGATGCATGCTGCGAGTATGGTAGAGGGAGGAGCTCGTATTACTTGAGAGAGAGAGAGAGAGAGAGAGAGAGAGAGAGAGAGAGAGAGGGAGAGAGACGAGGAAAATGGACTTACACCAGCCAACTCTGCGAATGCGTAGAAACGAATAAGCGGAAATATTATGTTCAAAGCGAGAGAAGGGACAAACTGGTGAACGAAGATTGAAAGATCATGGAACCGGGTGAGAGAAAGACAAACGTTACGACGTTACGAACTGTACGCAACCGTTCACTCGAGAAGTTCGTAACTGTTGCGTTTTTCTACGGTTACTTGTTCCTCGTTCTACATATATCGTACTTCAAATTTAACGCGACGCTATCGTCGCAAAGGAAATGGTCACCCGAAGGTCTGTCTTCCAGAAGGGAATGATATTTTTCGGAAGTTTCGTGAAAGCGAATGAAATATACAGTGCGATAGGGACTTTATATGCGCTCGTAGCAGAAAGATTCTTCCTTTCAAAGCCGATACGAAGATGATTCTCAGCCGATTAAATCATAAAAAAGATCGGTCTCTCAACCGACGAAATGGTATGTAACTCAATAACAAATAATTGGCGTGATTGTTCTATTATAAAATCAAATTTATATGGGTTTTCGTTGTAAAGATCTTAATAATTTGCCAATTCGTAAGTATCCCTAAACGTAGTATATCAATAAATATAACTAATGACAGTTTTGAAATATCAAACACGCCATTTAGAAAGGCCGATTCGATCGAATGGCCGTGTGCCACTTTAAACACTGCTATACCGTTTTGGCCGGATTAAAATTTCGAGATTAGTATTATAAATTTATGGAAAGATGACATAAATAATTCACGATATACGGTATAACTGAGTTAATTAAGCGCTATTTCTCTACAACATTAATATTCATAGATTTGGCGAATACCAGTAACAAAGATTTCAGAGACAAATTCGTCAAATTGAACCGCATAATCAATTGGCAATGACTGTCGGCTATTAAACATATTCAATGAAGTAGCGATTGACAAGGGACGTATTCTGTGATCGACAGGAATTGAGCGACGCGGCGCATTTCACCAACCGTGAGGTTCAGCAAAATTAATCACACCACATCGTTTCCACGATTGATGGTCGCAGCACCCAACTCAAAAACCAAAGGCGTGTGAATATTCAGGGACCACGGCCTGATTTCTATTTTGTTGGCGTACCGATCGGTGTTGTTCGAAATAAATAACGCGGAATACATCATCCCTAGTATACGTGTCATACTAGCCGTTTGCCCTCGTCACAAATAGAACCCCGGGGAATTACGCCACCAAGATCTGCGAGATGGGTTGGGCTGACGCGGTAATACTGGTTATCATCGCGCTGATTGCACCCATACCTACCCCACGCCGCCATTGCTGCTGCATCCAACGACTATCTTCCACTGGAACCTGCATCTGACCTGATATATTTCCATCCGAGCTATTCATTACGTCTATCCACCACCAATCGTTCCTTTCACGATATATCGATATACGAAAATTGCCAAACACCCCACCGTAGCTTAAGGATTCACCTCAGCCCAGTTTTATTACAAATCTTTTCCTAATCCTGTTTGTACATTCAGATATTAATTCGGATTCTTTGTTGTAAGTTTCGTCGATATCCGGAAAGAAACGGTGAATTTGCTGACTGGATGAATTATCGAAAGTAGAGCTGTATCGTTTAAATTGGTCGACAAACGATAAAGTAACTCGAACGTAAGAATTTAGCTTGTAAAGTTTATATATTTTCATGGAAAATAAACGATAACGTGGAAAATATACCTTCGATAAATTCTTGTTTTGTTACGTGTTACGATAATAAGAATTTTACTCCTTTTAAGAACTTAAAAAATCGTAGATACTCGTTATACAAGTTAAACTATACAAAAACTTTCGTTACAGTCTGCAACGACATTTATGAAGCACGAGATGCGAATAGTTCATACCGATGTTGTAACGAATAGCCAGGAACCTGTTACATTATCGTAATAAGTCGTACGCAGTAATAGGAGATGTTATGTAAAGTGCATGTACGTTATTTGTTAACCATTTCAATTAACGTGTTTTCTTTCAGGTAACTACAACACACATTACATATTCCACGAACTTACTGTTTAAACGAAACAAGGAAGCCGATGCTCTTAAAATCATATGTCAAAATAAACTCAAGTAAATCTCACTCGATCTACGCAGACAAAAGTTAAAACGTCAATGGGCATTATGTAACGACAGTGCGTAAATGAACAAGTTGTCTATATGCACGCCCGCGTTAACGCGCCAACGTTTCAAGATAGATATACATGTACTTACGATTACCAAACCGTGATATCATCGGTACTGTACGTGTGTGTGGCGGGGAACGTTGTGGAAAAAAGGTGGAAAGGAAACGGCAACAAAAAGTTGCGGCTGCACCGTTATTTGCGCTCGTAAACATGACTCGGCGCGCTTGCACGCCGGTGCGCTCGCAGCAAAGGTAACGAATGGGAGAAGTCGAAACGACCACACCTTCCTCCGAAATGCGCTCTCAAACCTCGTTCGTACTCCCTGTCAGCTTTTCTCTCTCTCTCTCTCTCTCTCTCTCTCGCTCTCGCTCTCCCTCTCCTTCTCTCAAAAGAGAGAGTACGCTTATATACCTACGTACGTGTTTACGCTGTGAACGCGCCTCGCCAAGCGGAACTAACGATAACGAACGGTTACGAATGTAAGGGACCAGTTTGCAAAGCAAACGACATTTCAACCGAACGCTGCATACTACTCGTGGAAGAAAAGAGAAAAACAGATGAAACGAGGTGGTAAGGGTGAAACAGATGGATAGGAAGGTAGATAGGCAAACAACGCGAAGCACTGGCATATAAGCCGAGAGCGTGCCCAGTGCCCAGAGATGTCTCTATGTCGCGCTCAAGGAACGGTTAGCATTGTCTCTCGCGATTTACGTATATTTTCACTTTGCAGCGATAAATCGGGAAATTGCAAAGGTTTAAGGTGAATCTGTTTCGTATACGTTAAACGTTTACTCGAACTGTTGCTTTTTATGAACTCGAAGTCACGAGTATTTTAAACATCTTTTCATTTACCGAACTAAATTGCTAAACTATTAGGTCTTATTAGCGCACAATTTTATATAAATATCTATTTCGAACTTTCACTCGATATATTTAAACGTAAGCAAGAAACATTGATAACCTCGTTTAATATATTTTATATATTTATATATTTTATATTTCCTCTTTTGTGATCGCCGTTGAATAAGAGAACATTCTTACTTAGTATAATTACGTAATACGACGACTTTCCCTAACACAGTATGTTACGTCGAACATTCCGGTCAGTAGACTTTATCGGTTTTACTTTCTAGTCCATTGCCTCCATAATACTATCTTCGCGTATCTACTACACCAAGCATGATGTGGCAAGGCCGTAAAGTCAGTTAATAGTCGAAGTAATCATGCTTCGGATGCTGAGACAAAGGAACTGGCATAATAATTGGGGTACATAAAGACTGAAAATCCCTGGAAAAATTGACCGAAAAAAATATTTAATACAGAAATAACTAACTGTATATATCGTATAATATATTTTTTATTAAAAATTGTAATTAAAAATGTAATTTTTATAGTTCTATACGGACTTAAACCTTAAGAGGATCGATAATTTAATTTACGATCTCGTTGCATCGTTGCTCGTATGAAAACTATAAAGAGGACTGGAGGGTAAATGAAGATGTAACGATACCGACGTTGAAATTGTTTGCAATCTGGTAGCAACTGTGACGATAGTCGGAGGAGCAAACTTCGGTTTGAGTTAATGACGAAATAGTGAGCAGGATGTAGCAGTTGGTTTATGGGGATCTTGCGGTGACCTGGTTCTGAGTGGTCAGTGGTGCCTGGGCTAGCCGTATCGTCCACTTGGATCGTAACTAGCGACGGTAACAACGGCAATACGGCAACAGCAGTGCAGAAGCAATGTTCGCGTCCTCGTAGCCGTTAGCGCCGACGCAACGTCCAGCCTAGTAGACAGTATTTGGTGGTCCAGGTTCCGAGCAACGGGCGCATCTGCATCGAACGGAGACAGGATAGTAAATTACACGTTGACTAGAGCTGACAACCGCAATGCGTGCCACACACTGGCATGCATGGGCTTCTGCACGGGATGCCGTGTGTTTATGCGAACGGTGAGTCCAGCACTGTCAAGCCGTCTAGGCCGCTCGGTGAATTATAGATGAGCTCCCTTAATAAAGACACCAGAGATGCCCGAAATTCTCCCGACGTTCCGTCGCCGCAGAAACCCAACGTTCCTTCGAATTACAAGCGGATACCACGTGAGTTCGTTCGTTCGTATGTTCGTTCGCTCAACGGCTGCGTGAAAGAACGCGAGTGCCCGTGCTTCGTGCCTGTGCACGGGCGTGAATGGCCCCACCGCTTCTCAGCTTGACTTTTCTTCGATGCGATATGTGTGGCTTGTTCGTTCGAAACGCAAGAAGCAGCGGAGAATTCAGAGAAAAACAAAGTAATTTACCGTGGCCGAAGGAAAAGCTGTGACTATGAAATACGCGGTTAATTTCGCGATTAAAGTTTAAAATTTCATTCCCGACGTGCGATACGTTTAGCGCCTGGCTATGCACCTCTTCCGTGTTCTTTTTCATTTAATTTGAAAACATTCCTTTGCAAGAAAGTGGACCATACCTCGGTGAATTCTCTAATTGCTTGCGATGAAATTTTTATGCAACAACATGCGATCGTTCACCGGTTAGCACTTCCCCGGCATTACGTGCGAATAAATTCTTTTCGCGCTTTTCGCGATCGTTTCTTCGTTTCTTTTTTCCGAGAAATAAACGGTACACGAGTTCACCGTATTGGTCGTAAAGAGATTCTAAAGCGTGGCATCCTTTTCTTTCCTAGAAACTCGATTCCAGACTGTCTAGCGACCGGTAGTCGTGGTCACACTAACAGTGATTGGAGTGTACGCGTGAGTATCAGTGCCAAACACTGGTAGTTATGTATATTAGGGGTAGTAAAACTGATGTAAATTTATTTCGAAATTCCGCGGTGCTCTCGTAAACTTGTTTTAAAACTACCCTCGTAAAACGATTTGAGTCCTTTTCTCCGTGCACCGTAGACGCGTTCGCGGCCAGACTTTACCGTCAAACGCCTATCGCCTCTTAAGTAATTCCACGTCTTACCCTTAAGATAACGAGTTTGATCGTGAAAACGTGCTCTTGCATGGATCGTTCGATGCCAACGTTATACCTCTCTTTTTAGCTCGAGTCTCGATATTTTATAATACCTCGATATCGCGATGAACTTATCGAGCCACGATATAGATTTCCTCTACTTTATGAAAATACGTAAAAGGGACGTTACGAAGAGATCGGGAGGCGTATTGTGTTTTTACGAAGGTTGTCGTAAGTCAGGCGTTTTGCAGCGTCATTTATTAACGAAATCGAGGAAAGATAAAAAAGGAGTTTCGCAAACGTTTTCGACGCGAACGTTCTTTCTGGAACGGCCTCGGGGTCGAGCTAGATCGGTTATCAACGGCAAAGCGAGCGAAGGTGCAGGTTTTCCAGCATACGTGTCGGAGTAGGCCGATGCCGGGGTCGGAAAGGGAGGAATCGAAGGGGAACGAAAATTTAAGGGCAGCCATATATTATCGCGACGAAGGGGTTGTCTGAGGTTAACTGCCAGAGCTTCGCAAGGGGTGTGGGATCGGGTAGTGTTGAGGGGAGCTAGAGAGGCGAAGCTGTGCCATGAATATGCCGCCATTAGTCACACGCCGAACTGCGCCGTAGAAAGAGAAGTAGGTGACACGAATTTCCCGGCATTGCGCGCCCTATTGGTATCCCAAGGGTGCCGCGGCAGTAACGCGAACAATTCCTCGTGAATGCGCATTTATCTCAACCAATCTCCTCCTCCCTCCGCCTTTTGCGCCTCCGTCTCCTGCTTCGGGCTTGTGATACCCAAAAGGCTGATAAAACTTCCTGAATTCGCCGCGCCGCCGAGAAAAAGGCATCGTATCGATTTTCTTGTCCAGAAAAACTTGCGGCCGTATCACTCACCGCACACCTCTCTGTCTCCGTCGCGTTGCGCTCGTGCCGCGACCAGCTGACTATACTATCGAAACATTCAGCTTTCTAGTGACGCTCTGTCATGGACAGGCCTCGTTACATCTCAAAAGGCAGCGATGAAACGGTTAACTAAATTGCTACACACTAACTGTCATTCGCAGAATCCCTCTCCTACACTCGTCGCTTACTCTCTCTTCGAGCTAGTTGAATAATTCCCGGTGTCTAGACATTCCTGATCTTTCACGAAAAAAAAGTGATCATTATCGAAAAGTTAACAAAAGCAGCTGTCTCGGTTATGCAAAACAATTGACGGTTGTCAGATTCTGAAAGTATATTTTATATAAAAAATTGGTCGATAATTTTATAGGAGAATATATAAATATATCACTGTCACATAATGTATACACGTGAGAGAAATAAATCGTCTTGTTCGAATAGAAATTTTACTTATATGTTCCCTATTTGTGATTAAGTTACATTACAGATGAGAAATACACTTTATCGCTCGTATGATTTTGCGATCATACGAAAGGATACGTAGGTAGGATCTGGTGAATTGAATTTGATTGGGATAATGCAATTTATTCGATTCATATCCGGTGCCAGAAGTTGGTATCCGGAAATCTGTGTTTTATGCCAGAAGGCTCGCAATTCGTCCCTCTGATAATATCATCGACTTTCCCTCTGATTATACGGAAATTCGTTTCAGTAGGTTTCAGGGTCATGTTTATCGTCTTTTGTAACCTGTTTGTGTTGAACCACAACTCTTCTTCGCCCCGTCTGTTTCTAATTACTTTAATGCCACTCACGTACTGCAGCGTCTCCTCATCTTGAGCAATTACCACGACGTTTTCCGGTGTAAATGGTTTCTCAATGTTCCAGCAAGCGACTGCCGTTAATTGGACTAATTGGAAAAATATTACGCCTCTTCGCGACGTTGCTTGAACACCCGCTTGGCTTGCTCGCTTATAGTTCGATTCGAACACTATTGGTTCGCTGTATTTACTTTCCTTTAAAGAGTAGGTATTCGTAAACTTTTGTCGATAGCTGGCCAACGAATTGAAGTAAAGATACCTGGAAATTGTATAACGTGTGACGAATTTCTGTTGAATATACAACAAGCATCGGACATAATTTTTGACAATTTTTCATCGACTTCCATTTATCTGTATATTCCTACTTTCCTCGTTCTTCGATCAACTCACGTTGAGTTAAGGAATAGAACATATTGCATAGTGTTTTAATAGGATTCATTTTCCGAGATTACTTTAAATGTTTGTAAAACTTGTTCTAGAACATGAATAATAAAATCGATACCTTTTGTCGAAAAATCCAATTGGCGACAATGACATTCCGAGAGTACCATCCGTTAAATCGAACGATTCTCCAGCGATCGTAATGTTCATGGCATCGTCATCCGGGCCAAAAGCATTGCCACGCGTGTTGTTTACTCGCCATGAATAATCGTGATATAAGTCATAAATCAGTAGGCCATTTTGATCCACATCCGCCACGTACAGATAAGTATCGAAACATGTTTTTCCGACATCGACGATTGGCGTAACTAATGCTGCCTTCCCGTACAGCACTTGATCACCCGGAACCACGTATTTATGGACCAACTGATCGTTCGCAAGATCGAAGATCAATATTTTCGAAGGACAAACAGCATTTCCTCCGATGTGACCAGTATCCACAACCCACAAACGATTGCATTCGTCTATCTGTACAGTGATTTCGTTGCTACCTTTAATATAATCTTCCACGATTTTTAACGCGTTGAGTTGCGATTAATTCTAATGGTAAGCATATCTTAAAATCGTATTAATAAAATTATAAAATAAAAAAGAAGTAATTCCCGTAGTCGAATATTCCAACGTGTAAATTTCCTAACAATAACTATCATTAAATAATAAATCAGTAAATATCATTAACATAATGATATAGCTACATATTTTCATTTAATATTTATGCGTGTGTACGATCTTTCGATCTCTTTTACGATCTTTTTTGATTTGAAAGATTACGTAGGAAAAGACACATCTCCGTTATACACGTGAAATAAACGTTTTATTGCATTTATCATCCGATTATGAAATATTTATAGAAGAATGTTAAACGTCGTGTATAACTTTTAATCGTAGAATATTTTAAACGCGTTCATTTATAGGTAATTCGTGCAAATTCTTCTATTATCCTCGCGAATTGCCAAATTTTTAACGCTCTACCAAACTTGTAATCAGCAATATCGTCAAAAGAAAATTCTACCTCGTATCACTTAGTGGAGTTACAATGCCATACAAAAATTTCTATGCATCTATTTTGTGATTTTCCATATAATTGCTAAACGTAGACGTTACTAAATTTTGCTGCTTAGAAATCTTTATATGCCACCCCATATCTCTACGAAATTTAAATAAAGGTATTAATAAAATTATCGTAACAAGAGCTGTTTGAATTATTTTAGCGTACACAATAACTCAACGGACAATCTTGAGAGAAGTAAAGGCTTCTACCAAGAGTTGTTCATTCGAAGAATTTTCGTCTGAATTTATTAAAATGCCATTTCACTGGTAAACCTGAAAACCTTTGCAGCAATTACACTTATCGTGATATTTACCGCCAACCTATACACAGATATTATGCTGTCACAACTGTATGGCGTGTGCCAGGTCCAATCGGGATACGGGATCAGTAAAGGACCACCGAAACCAGAGGCAGTCGTTACCAACGACAAGCTAATCGGTACACCATCCAACCACTGAGGACTTGTTACGAATACACGACCATATCTATCGATGTCCACATCCTGGGTAAACGCGTTACCCAGCGTCTGATTTCTTCCCGTCAAATGAACATTCGGCCAGGTCCAATCCAAATATTTCCATTGAAAAGCAACTTCTAGTCCTTCGCCTGTTGCACGATACAAGAACCCAATAATCAAGATAAAACTGAACGATCGAACCATCGCGAATTACACAAGAAACTGAAGCCTTCGTCGTGACATATGAACAACATATGCTCCACTCGGAAACTCGTAGACTAGAATGTTCGTCGCTTCGATCGGTTTCGCGATCCGAAGTACACTGCGTCACAGAGCAGCGCAGATATATTCTTGACAGTGGCATTACTACCATCGAAACCAGTTACTTTCCCTGTCCATACGGCTTGATGGCGTGGTTAACCTTGAACTGAATATTACGAGACTGTTTAACGCGGCTTACGATATCAACTATCTGGATATATTACTAGATAATAGAAAGTGAATAAGCGGTATTACATATGCAGTCTTATTAGTAGGCGCAAGGTCGTTGCTCTCTGCATAGGTACTTGCTATACTACAAAATCAAGAAGTCGATCTTGCGGTTAAGAGATTTTTAATACTAACAAATATAACAAGCATAACGTTAAATCGTACGTTCAAGACGCTATGTTGGTTCAGCCGATCGAAAGTTGCTTAACACTAAACCTACCAGTGCTGCTCAAATTGACCGCTTTCAAACTTCTACACAAATTTAAGCATATTTAAACGTTACCATATCGCTTCATAATCTCTGACTTTTCCTAAAACACGCATACAACATATTTTTCGGTATTTACTTTTAGTTTGTTTTTTCCTTTTTTAAGAAGAAATTGTATTCTGCCTTGCCTATCGCGGGCGGTCAATTTGACCGGCCGATAAAATATTTTAGTTACTCTTAAAATAAATGCAATCGGTATAAAGAAAAGGCTATCTCAAGGTCAGATGACAAACAAAATCAGTAATAACAAATAATAACAACTGTTACGCTCGTAACGTTATCATAAATCATAGTTCATCTCTCGGTCAAGATCGCCACCAGCTGTCAAGACATATCACTCAGGCCTATAATAATCCTAACCGCCATAAAATTTAGCATTTTTTACAGTCGATTGTTACAAACATTTCGAAAGTCGGGAAGTTTCTTAAGGTTGTCGCTCATTGCGATAAAACACGGGAAAATCGGGTTTATTCTTACTCCACACTCGAGTAACCGTTGGTGGAGAACGGCCAGTACTCATCGATATTTTCTTATAAATATCGTCGTCACAGACCATATTCTTACTTGCTATCGTCTAAATTACAGCCCTCGACTTCTCGACCAGAATACATCTCAGTTTGTTAGTCAATCAGTCGACGTTTAACCTTGTTAACTCGGACAGAAAGCATCTCAGAGCGTTTTGCGTAAAGTTGTTATAAAAATAAAAGTAAAGCATATCAAATCCGACAATAAATTGGCACGTCGATAAGCTGATCTTTGGAAATCCACGTTTTTGCTAAATCGATTTAATTACCGCGAAAATAGTGATTCTACGATGCACTTTACTTTCGTGGCTTTTCTGTATTTCCCGATGAATACAAACACGAGCTATCAGAACCGTCGGCAGTGTGCGCGTCGGAACGTCAATAACGAATGCTCACCGAATGTGGTCATGAACGCATTAGCTACTGCGTGATTCGAAACTGGATCAGCTATTTGGAAGCGGTACACGCTCACCTGAAATAGAGCTTCAACTATTTTCATGTAAATTTGCGAGCGTGGCGAAGGTTATTAAAAACGTTCGTGTTCGAATACATCTTGGCATTCGGCAAATCGATTGCGAACCCACAAACTACAGGATTAAGAAAAGTTCCTTCGTTTCTTTAACACTGCTCTAGGTTGTAATTTCTTAATCAGCAGCTCAACCTACAAACGCAACGTCAACGAATGTAAATACACCGCAGGTATACTTGAAATCGGGGGATTAAAATCACACGTATATTTAACTAAGTATATGGATACTCGAAACGAAATAATACGAAAAATAATAATAAACGGTGAAAGTAAAAAATGAGAATCGCCTTTATCTAATTTTAAGACGCGAACATATATTTTAACTCTCGTTGAATTAACCCATTTAAAACGAATGTAAAAAGGATATTTCGCAAAACTTTTTTAGATCGTATATCTAAATATCACTGCGTCGATCAGTGTCGCGAGCGGATCGCTTAATTTGTATTTGCACAGCGTTATTTTCACCAAATTACTGGGTACGCTGCGAACTATTTTTATATCGCAGATAATATGTATTATTATCATCGATCCGAGCATTGCGTTTTAGTTGCAACAAACCTTTAATATAGATATCCATGAAGTACTACATAAAAAAAGAAAAACGACAATGTAAGATTGGTCGATCTTGCGTTTCGCGGATAATGAAAACCTTGGCACGTCAGAACTGTTTTCCAACTGTTACGTACGTAAGTACGAATCACGCAATACGCTCATAATCTCCACGCTTTTCATGGCAGACAGCACCTAATTTTTTCCACCAACCCTTCTCGATTTCGACTCTGAATCGCTTTACACCCTTCGCCACATCTGGCCAGCACAACTGTGTTTGCTAAGGAGAAGTGGAAATCATAAATCATCCGGCTAGTCACGATTAAGCAGAACCAGAAGACAAATGGGTGGTTAATTTCAATTCTAATGCAAAGTGTACAACGAGTATCAGTTATATTCGTACCATAAAGATACATTTCCAGAAGGAATTCTTGTTTTAGATTAATCTATAAATAAACCTGTTTCAATCATTCAAATGGACATGACTTTATACTCGAGATCTTCACTTCTGAATCATAATTTATACTTCATGTTCAAGTGGTATTATAAGCACAATCGTCGATGTAATTTTCTAGTAATTGTTCTCGCGATATAGAAAAATTGCACTTAATTTATAGAAGAAATATGGTATAATATGTTATAATACTTTAAGATAATGCATTATAATAATAATTACGAAATATAAGAATAGCATATACTGATATTAACAATGTAGTATTAAGAATTCAGGAAGTATTATTCAATTTCGCAGTTAACGAGACATGAATGATGCATTAAACATTGCAGAGTACGCACTTCCTTGTTAAAAGTGAAACGGTCCGCTCTCTACGAAGTTAACAAGAAATAAAAAACGCTGAATGAGGACAAATACATAGGTATACGCACACAGGGTAATGAGTACACTGCAAGCTACTTATGCAAATTAGTTCGTCCAAAACAACTCTTCAATACCAAACGAGAACTTAATAAGGAAACAATAATCTTTCGTAAATTTTACGATCGTAAAGATCGAGCTAGTGATAGAATCCTTTATCCGATGTTGTAGAAAAATTTTATGATAGGAAATGCGCGTAGAGATGAATATTGCGATAAATATCGTGGAATCGTTGAACGTCAATAAAGGTTTAATGTGTACGAAGAATTCATAGAAGTATAGTCGCTCTCAGAATTTCATAAGAGTAGGAATAGCGTAGTTTTCTCTTTCGCTCTCTCTCTTTCTATTCACTTCCACTGATTTAAATATCCAATAAAGATTCTTTGCCGTTACGTTGCACAAATTGTGGTAAAAATTTTTCATCCAGCGAGATGTAGAAAAAATGTAATTGATTCCTGATGTACATTCATCAGAAATATAAATTGCATTTGAGTTTGGTACACGTGTCCTTTGATATAATATATCTTTTTATGAGAATAAATAAGATTCGAATGTTTTTCGTTGTGAATTTGAATTACGCAATAAGTTACTAACTTTTACCGATTTTTGCGTCGCACGTCCTGTCGAAACTGTCTAATTATCGAAGAACCTGTCTAGAACTTGTCTAGAAATGTCATTCCATCAAAGACTTATTTCAAAAATATGGTACTATCATATTATGTATCATATTATCATTGTCTAAATCATTCTATTCAAAGTGTTAATTAAAGCAGATAATTTCATACCATATATCACATTTCAGCGAAATTTCTTCAACCAAAAGAACTTTTGTAAATTTAAGCGTTTTACACACAAAAGAACATTTTACATAATGGGTTTTGTGGCAGGTAAGATGGTGAACTTCATTTTCTTCGAAGTTCTTGTACAAAGTTCTTGCCGAAGCAAAAACTACAGGTAAAAATAAAACTTTTTAAAGAGAATGCATCTGTATGTATTAGGTTTTATGGATATTTGAACTACTACCTACTACGTCCTTTTGATATATTTCTATGTATAGTAGTAGTAGTTAACTAAGTAACTTTGGATCTCTATAACATCGTACGTAAAATAAATTCACAATTTTGTGACATATAAATTTCATCGGCACGGGCATCGAGTCGTTATATCCTCAAAGACGTATGCCAGTCACATTTCTCGTACAGGATTAATCGAAAAAGAAAAGGAAAAGAAAGGTGGAACAATTTACGGCGATACCGTTCGTTATTCCCGACGGTTCGAACTTCCGAACTGCCATTCTAGCAGAAGCTCTCGCATCGTACGATTTTATATCGACAGCGGAAGGGAGAAAGACCCGCAAGATGCGTCTCTCTCCGGTTGAAACAGTTCTTCTTCTTCTTCTTCTTAAACTGAGTTTGGTAAACCCTCGTACAAGTTGAAGTTCTGACCGTGCGGGTGGCGTCGAAGGGGCGTAAAGGCGAAGGCGTCGTAAAAGTTGGACGAAGTCAATTTTGCAGTTGAAGTTGGTAATGCGATTTGTGCCGGAATAAATAGTTCGAGTGGGGAGCACACAGGGCACCCTTTCCTTTTGCTACACCTCGTTTCTCTCCGGTGTCTGACCCGTGGACCAATCCACTCGAGTTTGGTGTCACGGGCACGTCTGTTGGACCTACTGAACGTGACAGTCTTACCCGAACAAATTTTACGTAGCTAGGACGAAGCAACGAGTGGCAACGTAACAAAATAAGAGACTCATTACTCTCGGAAAATCGTCGAGATAGTTGTACTTTTCACTCCGTCGTCGTTACAAAATCTGCCTCGATCGAAAGCAACGCGTCTTCCTTCGTTTCGTGGATTTTCTCTTTCCAACTACGATTAATTACAAACGACTAATTGATTATAAACGACTGTGAAAGCGCATAAATTGATCTTTCTACAAGGATTAGCCTATTTGCGAACCGATGCTTAAAATCTTCGAACGACGAGTTAAATAACGACGTTCCTGCGATTTTCCACGGTAAGGGTAAGCGGCAAATTACTAGAGGCTTTGACATAATCCGCGAAAATGCAATAATAAGCCACGTTTGCGGTGAAAAACGATCGTTCGCTCTTTCC